CCACAGCCATCCCTGCTGGCAACAAAACCAAGTAAAACCACCCTTCTCCTGCCAGACACCAACCTGTGGGCCTTGCTGGGGGTACCTGCATTAGGAGGTGGGGTGATAACTGCAGTCAGACACTGTCCTCTCTGCTAGGTCAAACCTCTGCACAGCCCTGCCCTGCCCAGCACACAGAACACTCCCCAGAACCCCTTTCTGTGCCCCAAGGGTGCTGTGTTCAAGCACTTACTGCAGGCAGCTGCTCTGCCCGGCCGTGCCCTCCGTGTAGGACCTGAAGGCCTGGCGGAACTCCTCGATGCTGCTGGTTGCCACCGAGATCTGCCTCTTCGCCACCAGGATGTGCTGTGAAGGGACAGTGGACCAGTGTCACCAGGGACAACGTGTCCCCTCCTGCCCCTGGTGGCAGGGTCCTGCTTTGAGGCTGCTGCTATTCCCTGTGTCCTCGCCCCAGTGAAATGGGCCTGCACCCCTGCACTGGGGCTCTGCATGGTCTGTGGGTGCTCGGAACAACCCTGGGGCATTTGGGCACTCGTAAGTGGAGCGTTGCCTTCCTCCAGGCTGCCCATGGGCACTGCCCAGGGCTTCATGGCCCTGACGGAGCTGCACTTGTCCTGTGGATGGTCCCACGCTCCCAGCTTTGATCCCATCCCGCTGTGTGGCCGGGCAGCCAGTGCAAAGGCAGCAGCTCCACCCAGTAACCCCAGTCTCCAAGGGCTGTGTGAGTGGGACTGGGGACCTGTGCACGCTGCAGGGTCACTGCAAAGAACAGGAACGGGACAGGGACTTACTGCATCTCTTCCTTTGCACATCGCTTCCTCCTTCAGCGGCTCCAGGCGCGGGCTCTGCATTTAACCACAGGAAAAGCCATCACCACCGGGAGAGCTTTGCAGTAAGATCAAACACGGCAGTAACCTACAGCCCAGCTCAGCGTGACGGGGAGGTACCACTCTGGATGTTCCTTTGGGAGAACAGGGATGAGACCTGCTCATCTGTGGGGCTCAGTGGGTCCAGACTGACTTGGCCAGATCAGCACAGACCATGGAGGAGGGTCCGACAGACCCTACCCAGGGAAAAAGGGGGACTCTGGAGACAGCAGGGGATGAGCAGCTTTGCAAGTCCAGGTCTGGTGACCAGGTGCAGCTCTGTAATGACGCCAGGATGGAATTCCAGGGCTGTTGGCACTGACCCGCAGCACGGGCAGCCCCTCAGCTCCTCCCCAGCACACACCTTACACTCCAGCTTCTCGATGAGCTGCTGCCGCCTTTTTTCCATCCACTGGCTGTTGTCTTCGACACAAACGCCTGCGTGGGGAAGGGCAGAGATGTCACTGACAAAGCTTCTCATTGCAAGAGCTTGCTCAAGACCCAGGAAACCACAAGAGCTTCTAAACCTCTGATTTAAACCAAAACACTGATTTTTCTGCTCAAACTTTTCCTATTCCTCAAGAGATAAAACATCCCACAGAAGCTCCAGCTGGCATGTGGGTGAGGTGGCCCAGGCTCTGTTCCGTGCTGCTGCTCCCACACTGGCTCCAGTGGGGCAGAGACACCAACCAAGGGATGACCCGGCTGCAGATACCTGTCGTTAGCATCCCAGAATAGGGGTCTGTTGGAGACAGGCAGATGTTCTTCTGTCCTCTGCGCCCACATCGCCTCCCTGACCTCAGCCCAACCGAGGTCTCGAGCTTCTTGATGTCCTTTCTGAAAGCACAAGATGCAAAGGGAGGGGTTGAAGTCATGCAGTGTACAGGTCACTTCACAGCAGGCTCGGAAAGGGCAGATCCTGCTCCCAGATGTCCCTCTCAGGGGGACCTGTGGGTCATGCCCCACACTGTGACCCCCATGGCAGGGGAGGACCTGCACCCGTTACCTGTCCCGCCCCGACTGCTCCTCCACGGTGTCCACGGCGCACTCGAGAGAGGCCTGCAGGGACTGCAGCTGCTGCAGGGTCTCCCGCAGCAGGAACCGCGTCAGGAACTGCTCCATCTTCGAGGAGCTCTCGTACCTCTGTGGGGAAGGGGGGAGGATCCATCAGCTGCCTCGGGCTCTGCTGGGGGGAGCAGAGCTGCAGCAGGAAGGGGTTGGCCTTAAATAAACCCAATGTTTTGGGTTCCAATCACATCTGGAGTTACTGTAGGAAGGGACAACACTGCAGGACATGAGCATCCTCTGGGTGCGTGCCTGTGAGGTCACAGCAGGGAATGCACCACAATAACCCCATCCTGGCCCAGCAACCGCACCTCAGGAGTCAGGGGACCTCAGATGGACACTTCCAAGCCACAAGGTAATGGCCACTTGTAGAAATAGCCCCAGCTCCGGGGAGGGCTGTGGGGCACAGAGAGCACCCTACCTGCACCCTCACCCGGGCTCCCGGGACGGGGCTGGTGGTGCTGAGCCCGCAGTGGTCCCCTTCCTTAAAACAACCTGCAGTTTTGTCCTTGTGCTGCTGGACATCCCAAGGGCCTGGGGAATATCTCCAGGCCCCCAGGAATGGAGACAAGGTACCCAAGGAGGGATGCTCAGCGAGGCAGGGAGCAAGGAGGAAAGGCTGAGGCATGTTCCCAGAGACAGCACGTCCAGAGCAGGCAGTTGTCCTCCACCGGGGCTGAGGCACAGCCTCCCTTGCAGCGCCTGGTTTGTCCCCACAAGACTCCTCTTGTCCCACTGCAGGGTGAGACTCTTCCTCCCTCCCTCCCCGGCGTCCCTCAGGACTTTGCCATGCTAAAGCCTGCAGTCGTCATCGACAATGGCAGCAGCTTCACCCGGGCAGGCTTTGCAGGCCAGAAGCAGCCCAAGTTTGTGCTAAGGACCATGTTCCTACATCCCTGCAGCGCAGGCACCGCAGGGGAGGCCCAGCAGCACCACAGCACTGCTGAAAGCATGGCAGGCTTTGCCGTAGCACCCAGGTCTTACCCACTCAAGCAGGGCATCATCGAGGACTGGGACAGCATGGAAAACCTATGGAGCCACCTCTTCTTCTGCGGCCTGAGAGCTCCCCCAGAGGAGCAGCCAGTGCTCATGGCTGACTCCCCATCGTGCCCCTCCACCAACAGGGAGAAGGTGGCAGAGGTGCTTTTTGAGCGCTTCGGGGTGCCAGCCCTGCACGTGGCCAACACCGGGTTCCTCTCCCTCTGTGCCTATGGCAGGGTCACGGGTCTGGCCGTGGAGGCTGGGGCTGGAGTGTCCCACATCACCTCCATATACCTGGGACAGACCTGCAGGGAGGCCACTTACCGCCTTGGGGTGGCTGGTGGCTTCCTCTCCAGCTACCTGCACAGCCTGCTGATGGACAGCCCCAACGAGCCCTCAGCGCTGAAGGCCTTGAAGAAGAAGACGGTGATCCAGATGAAGAAGCAATGCTGCTACGTCTCCATGGACTATGAAGGAGACCTCCAGAACCAAGATTTCCATCATCCAGCCAGATTTCAGGCCCCTGATGGGCACTGTATAACCCTGGACAAGGAACGGT